AGCTTCATTCTTTATTCAAACCCCATTTGTCTTATTATATCTGTTTGTTAGTGTATATATTGCTTTATTTTTGTATTAAGTTTATTGTTTGATGACGGCGTTAATATAAGTTAGCCAACTTGAGTACGCCGTCATCGTGTCTGTATTTCTTTATAAATGTTTAAATAAAAAAAAAAAAAAAAAATTCTCTCACCTAGAGCTTTTGACCAGTCACTCTGGTCTTCCTCAGTAGACTGACCCAGTGAAGCCTGTCACGTGGCTTCTTTGAAGTGTGACGTCAACACTGGGTCAAAGGTATCTGGTAGACTCTAGGTGAAAGAATTTTTTGTGTTGGACCAAAAGTGTTAACTTTAAACATTCTGACGTTATACTAGTAAGGCCACAGCAAGTACATTTTATGGATGACATCCTACGCAGACTCCAAATATAACGCGATAGGGCGAAAAAAGAGACGGACCTAAAAGGATCAAGATTCCTACATTTCCAAATTTTGACATCATAAACTTTATGAAACACGAAATGATACATATATTGTGGAACGTTTACTGACAACTATTACAACCTCCATTTATCACGAAAAACAAATGGTTTCGATTCAGTGGGAACATCACCTACATTGTATACACAGCCACCATCACATATAAAAAGAAATGAAATATTTCACTCATTTCAAGTAAAAGAATAACCCAAAGCCTTGTCTTGTCTCCTCTCTTCATATTTATCTGCCATCCACGTTCCGGCATGGCAACAGACATCTTTGCCCATTTTCGTCATGTTGAACGTAAGAGGGCAACAAAATTTCTTGTTTTATTTCTGAAATCAGGCGAAAATTAATGCGCGAGCTGATGTCATCCATGAAAATTACTCGCTTTGTCCTTATTTGGGAGGTCAATTTCTATGAGCGTACGCCACCACTAAGCTTAAGCTTAAGACTTTTGATATGCGCCCCCCTGAACTATATTTATGTTTACCGAAACATATTGGTTTTACACAGTTTCTTCCTCTTCTTCTTATTCCTCGTCAACATAATTTGTTGACGTCTGTCACCATGGTGACTGGTGTTGGGTTACATAATGTTGCAATTTCATGGTCTGCTCTGCTCCTGTCACAATATACTAGTAGTACATGTATGTGAATGTGTTTGAGTAAGAATTAACAGAGCAGACCATATCCGAAGGTAAACATTATGCATTTGCTTTGCAAATGTTACTTCTCTAGTTTTGTTCTGATTCTTGTACTACCAGAAGGCAGATTTCGCAATAGGAGCCCTGGTGTTGATTGCTGCTCGGGAAGGTGTGGTGGACTTTACCATGAGATTCATGGACTTTTCTTTGGGAGTTCTCATGAGACAAGCTGAAGAGGAAAATTACTTCTTCTTCCTGGAACCTTTCCACCCAAAGGTGACTTCATTTTCTTACAAGGTCTGTGATATGTATATGTCCACTGTCGTCCACTTAGAAATAGATGTCCAAACAGAAAACTTAATTAAAAGAACTTAAGGCGAGATGTGTCTAAAAAACGACCAGAATGAAGCTATAATCCTTCAGATTGTTGACAGGCAAAATGATTGTATTATCGGCAAAAATGACTTCAAGCGATAAAACGTAGGTCCCAACTACGGGAATGTACTCCCACACTATCTGTGCATAATTTTTATATGAATGGTCTGTTTCTTGTTTACGTGAACTGCCCGGCCGTTCCCCGGCTTGTAAATGTGACATCATTAAAAATAAAATTCCTCAGCGCCAATCCACTGTGGCGCTAACCTGGAAATGTCGTTCTGTTATAGCTGATTTAGATTTACGTAAGGAAACTGTTAAAATTATCATGATTATGTTCCGTCGTATTTTTCTTCGCCGAGACCAAGCTAGACAGATCCCCCCCCCTCCCATAAAAACGACTGGGGGTCCCACTGGGCTACACCCGAAAGTTTACAAAACAGCCCGTAAACTACCCGGCGGGGCCCCGTTTTCTGCAATCGTGTCCTAGGTAATGCTTCGGTGCCAATTGAAGAAAAGGGGCCCTAGCTGGTAGTTCCCGGGCTGTTTTATGGCACTTTCGGGCGTGGCCCGCGGACACCCTGCGGCTACCGGGCTATTTTTGGGCCCGGCGGGGACCCGAGAAGAATGTAATCCTGACTTAAATTCTACCCGGGCCCCGCTGACAAAAAAGACGCCGTGACCTCACCTTGAGTACCCCTCCAGATGAACAGAATAAAGGTGTGTACTTCGTACGACCGGGTCAAATGTGTGACGTCACAGATCAAATGATCACAACAAAAGCGTGAGTTCTGCATTACGTATAGGTCAGTACAAGACATCGTCAGAGAATCTGCCGGGTACCTGCCGGGTGCCTGCCGGAGACCAACCAAAGAGGGTGACAAAATTTTTAACAAAATGCTACTGAAGGAAACCTTTAATTGTGACCACGACAGCCAATACCCGCCCGACTCCTGAGCCCGACCGGGGCCGGCCGGGGCTACATCCCGACGGGCACCGGCGCAATCGGGACCGAAGCTTATGATGTTGTGTTGGTTCTTGTTTCCCAGGTCTGGCTGTGTGTCGCTGCAGCCCTGCTCCTTGTCTGCGGCGTGCTGCTGACTCTCCACAGACTCCAGTCTAACAAAAAAACGTTGCCGACCAGGCAGAGTTACTACACGATGTGGTTTGCTCACAGTTCACTTCTAGGTGGGTGTGCACAATTAAATACTGAAGTGTACATTTAGTGTAAATTTCTGTTACTTAATTATTGTATGTAAAATCACAGCCGTATTGCCGGATCACGAACAAGTTTATCTGTAAAGCCGGTAACTATTATTTGTCAATCGCCGAAAGGTCGCCCGATTTTGAGATCGACCGACGATCGCGCGTATTTTTGGCTTGAACATCGTCTCCGTGACATTGAGCGATGCTCAAGCTGTCGCTTGGGAATACATCTGTGATAATGAAGTCCGAATGACATGGCACATGGACGAAGTAAAGTCAGTCTATCCACCTAAAAAGGGGAATAGTTTGACCAATGTTTATGTTTTACCTGTCGTAATATGACGATGGGACTAGGTAAGGTAAGGTAATATTTTTTGTGAATTAATGAAGCGGACTGGTGGAATGAAATACAAATACAAACAGGAATTCTGCGATAGACCGAAAGACTACCACAAGAGCAACAAATTCACACTACCTTCTGGTTACTAAAATGACCACCTTTTTTTTAACTAAATGTGAGCCGGCCGAAACTCGCTTGAGACACGAGCGCACGCCGTTCGAGTTTCGGTCGATGATCTATCGATGCTTGCACGATTGCTAGACCATCCTTCCAAAAAGTACAACAAAACATTTCCACATTCTTTTCTGATTGATTATTTTCACCCCCGTTAGATGTCATTTCAATCATAGTCATTTTTTGCGCAACACATGCTACCATACCAACACAATTCTTTTTTTTTCTCAAAGTCCAATGTTACTGTTGTGTTTTCCAGGTGGACACATTGGGCTACGTCACGTATCCAGGAAAATTTTGGCGGGAGTTTGGTGGGTTTTCGCGTTCTTCCTTCTCTCCTCGTACACGGCAGAGTTGGCCGCCATTTTGACAGTGACCCGGATGGAGAAGAACACCATCAGTTCATTGGAAGACCTGTCGTCCCAAACAGACCTCCCGTCAGTACTAGATACTAGTCTACGATATTCACCAGTTTCCCATCCCAGAATGCAATGCGAAAACAGGGGTCTAAACCTCATTTGCATAGGACAGGAAGGCATCGGAATGACCCTGTTGACGTTAAACATCTTGCTTTGAGTGTGTTTTGAGGTGTTGGGACATTTTATGCTCAACGTTTATTAAATTACAATGGGTTGAATCTTACAACAAATAGAGAATGAATTTTTGGAATATGTGGTTTGTAACGTTATAGTGGTAACGCTATACTGATGCTGTTACGTTACAAACCACATGTTCCATGTCGAAAAGAACACAAAAACTTCATTCTCTATTTGTTGTCAGATTCGGCCCATAGTAATTTAATTAATGCTGAGCATAAAATGCACGTTCATCATGGGCTAAACAATAAATAAACCGGCATAATTTTGGGACTTAGTCTTGCAATCACAAGTAGGGTCCTGGTGACCCCATGCATAGCATTTTTCGCTATGTACCACATATTGAATGCATACAATGACTCCATCCGTAACATCCACTTCTTAAAATAGTGAAAATCTACGAGAGAAGTAGAATTTTCTATATAATTGACTCGGCCATACCTAAAACTGTTGTCTTTTGTAGTGGGTTTAATTCCACGTAAAAATGCCAAACTTTGCAAATCATGTTTGGCTGCAAATATGATTTTTCTCCCCAAATTTAACAAAATTTGAGAGGTTAAGAAAAAGCAAAACTCGGTTACTCTTACAGCTAGACGGATAGCCTTCATTCTCATGCATCTTTAAAATTTTTTAGAGTTTTTCTTGGGTGAGACGGCCCATAGACCTAGGTGTGCTGAACCGAATGTAAACTGGAGTGTGCCTCCTGTCTGTTGAAAACGAGTGTTGCTGTATGTCTAGCCGGTAAGCCTTTACTCAGAATGCTACGTGACGTAGTAATGGTATGAAATTGTTAGATTTGTAATAAGAACACGCTATCACCACCCCCCAGATACGGCACCGTGGCACAGTCCAGCATTGCAGAGTTACTTTCCGAGTCTAGTCTGGACACGTACGGGCGGATGTGGAGCTTCATGACCAGTGGGGACTATCCGGGAACTCTGGTCAGCACCAAGGACAGGGGCATCCGACAGGCGAGGGAAGGTGGGGGACGTACATGTACGATCTGTGACATGAGTAGTATAGCATAGACAGGATAGGTCGTATTTGTGTCACTCATTATGTGTCACGGGCGTGCAGAGGTCACGTGAAGGTCAATGTGGCATACCAGACGCCCCAGGAGGTCGTGCTGGGAATGGGTTAATCCTATTGTTCTTTTAACTAAGCCGGGACCTGTTGAATCCCAGCGCGGTTACTTCAAACCTTTCTCACCCGTCCCGGGAGGGCGTGTCGGGCGGTATCGTTATTTATTAAAGGTAGGCTGCGTATGTATTTCTGCGTCAGTATTATTTTTTGTCCGTCTTAGCTTGCGACCTCTCCACGCCTATTCGATTAGCGATGGCTTCTACAGATATCAGGAATTGGCTGAGCCGATCTATACACGAGGGGTATATCACAAGTTGTTCTACCGACCCTGTGCCGCTTCAATGGCAGAAGTTACGAGGAGAAAATTTCACGGGCTTATTTTTGTTTTTTTTTTAATCATGACGGCACACTCAAGTTTTTTAAACTTATATTAATGCCGCCACCAACACAGGGGACATTACAATACAATACTCATTTTTATCTGTTTGAAGAAAGGAAAGTCGTGTTAAGTGCCTTTCCCAAGGGCACAAGATCGGTGGCATGTCAGGACTCGAACCCAGGACCTCTTGGTTCCGAGTCGAACACTCTGCCGCTGCGCCACACGATCCCACTTATTTGTTTGAAAAAGAAGAAACAGGGCAGAAACGATATCTTAACGATGGACACTTGTGGATGACTTTTTTGGGCTAAAATTTAGTCAAACTTAATAAATACCAAACATGAAACATTCGCTATGGCAACAATTCTTATCGCCAATCTTGCTGTGTTGTAAGGAATAGAACGTCACTTGGGCTGAAACCATGAAACTATGAAATACAGATAAAGGTAGAAAGGAGATATCTGACCTGTAAATCCCTCTATCACTTAAAAATGATATTCAAAAGAAAGAGAACAGAAAGCATGATCTTTGCTGCCACTGTTATATAGTGTAGACAATATCAGATAGTAATATTTTGTCGGCAACCAAAGAATTGGGGAGTTGGGCTTGGGCATGTCTGCTACATGTATGTATGACGACGCACATGTCTGTAAACGTCACGAGAATTCACCGATTACAGTAAGAGTTCTCTCGTATGTTTGAACAGATGTGTTCGATGTTTCCGCCTACCAGCCCAGATTACTTCTTTTTCCACGAAAATTAGCCTGGCTCTTGCATAAAAACTAAAAGCTATTGCATCACCTCATCCCACGTCATTCTTTCAAATACCGGCAAATGTAGCCTTACTTTACCAGACTAATTAAGGTGCTAGTTGCCATATTCATGAATTTTGCACAGTTATACACTGCGCAACAATACAGTCTGCACAGTACGTACGGTCGTCATGTACGAGCAGGCAGAGCCCGTCCGGTCGCCTTTCTCCGGCCCCGGCAGTCGCCAAACCAGCGGGCATTCGCCCCAACCCTGTCCCGGTCGTCAGAGTGGTTCACGCGGGCGTGTCCGCCACGGCAACGGCGCTTCTGACAAACAGCATGAAGATCTAGACCAGGACCCGTCTTCACACACGTACGAAAACGCCGAGGAGATGAAACGTCACGCAACGTCTGCAGGTAACCGACGCTTTTGTCTGCCTTTTACAGTGGATAGTTATTTTACTATTAGAAGAAATATTCCAAGGGTATATGATAACTTACTGACTATTGTATAGTTTGCTGTATGAGTAAATTTGATGACAACAAGAAAACCCTTCATTGTTTACTGTACGCCCCTCATGTAAAATGCATCAGCAAGGTACGCGAACGTTCTCGCAACGAATACGGTACGATAGAAATCACGGCTTCGTCAAAGGTACACTTTTCCTGCCACATGCACAACGGGCCTCAGTCCTTGGAAAAATCATTGTGTTTCTGACAAACAGACAGGGCTTTAGCCAGCGCCCGTTTTACCGTCAATTGACGGTATTTTGTCCCGTAGGACGGTAAAAATTTAAGTCCTTACCGTCAATATTGACGGTCAAAAATCGTGGGTAAAGACATGGAAAAAAATCTAGCGAATTTGAATGATCAACGGCGCGGCGTCTTTTCCAAACGCACGGCGGCGGGAAACCTGACTTCAAGGACCGTGCCGACGTCTGTTGACTCTGATCTATTGTTCAATGTTGCTGTTTGTTAAAACAACATGTGCTAACGGCCACATAAGAATAAAATAAAACAATGGCTCGACTCAGACACACGCTGCTAACTGTACATGGCAATACAATAAATAAACATGTGACAACGAACAAAGAAATATCAAAGGTTTTGAAAATGTACTGTACTACTTGAATATTCATACTATCGCAAGAAAACGGAGATCGATCCACACAAAGTGGCCTTATTTTATATAAAATTTCGTCAGACCTTCTTCGAAAACTTGAGCGGCAGCATAAAGATTTCTGGAGGATCGCTGACACGCGAGTTTTTGCCGGCGTACGTAACTCCCTCCGCGGCAAAATCACCTATGGCTATTGCCGTAGCGAAATCGCGTCTCAGCGCTTCCCCCAAATCAACTCCAAGTCCGCAAAGGAGGTTGAACGTCCTCATTTCGGTTGAGAAGCGAAGCTACAACAAGTAAAATCATGTACATGTCGGCCATTTAGTTTGCTACCCAAAGTCTTCCGAATGCTCTAAATAAGGAAATCGTCGGAAATCTGAGCCACATCGCTCGCTGTCGGTCAGCGCTCGGGGCCGGCTCGGTGGAAATCGGAGGCTGTGACGTCATGGCTAGGTTCATTTGCATGGCGAAGCTGGCTGGGGAAGCCGCCGCGGCTTGAATCGCAGCGGGATTTGAGCGGGTCAAAACAAAGGGAATAGCGGGTTGTTCATTGCGTGTTGTCTACTTGTGAGAACTTTAGATTTTTTTTTTCATTCTGCAAAATTGCAGATTGTGTAATTTTCTTTATTCTGCAATCTTGACGTGTATTTAGAACACTGAATGCATGAAGTGTGCGGGAGGGCGTGATGTCGATCACCGGATCGTGAAAGGCAGACATTCTTTAAGTAATCATTGACGGAATTTTTTTCACGTTGTCGGGCGGTAATTTTTTTTGGCGAATTGGGTTGACCTGGAAAATAGGGTGGTAAGGTAGGAAGTAGGGCCTCATTTGCAAAATTAATACGAAAATGTTTTTCCTTAATTGTAAATTAAGGGGATTTTTTTACTTTTTATACTGAGTTTTATATGTGTAAGTTACTAGTAGTTGAAACTAGGTATCACTATGCATATATTATGTAACTCTGGTAGCGATTTGCATAATTAAGGATGAAATGTTAAATCCTGGCCTTGTTTTGTTCATGCTGCATTTAACTTGAATATTTATTCATTAACATGTTGGTTTGGTAAGTTGACGTAAGTCATAACCTTAGCGAAATATGTTTTCCTACCAGACCGCGCGTATCCGGACGGAGCGAGCGGCCGCCGCGGTGTCTGTAGCTTCCTCCGCGCCCGCCGCAGCTGTCTTGCCGCCGGCATCGCCGTGCTGCTGAGTCTAAGCGCCGTGGGACTCGCCCCTCTGACGTTCAGCAACAAAAAGGTAACAGCCTGAAGTCCATGAATTTTGCTCAATGTCATCATTTTAAGAGGGTACGAAATATTTGCTGCAGTCTTTCATAAGATCGTTTCTTACGAGTATGTTAGGTATTCTGACATCCGTATACATCTTTGTAGGAAATATCTCAATTGTCGACTACTGTTGACACCTTGAAACGCTACGAAGACGACATACGTCAACTGTTCACCACTTTTGACGCCTTGAAGCATGGCCAAGACGCCTTGAAACGCGACCAGGACGACATGCGCCAACTTTACACCACTGTTGACGCCTTGAAGCGCGACCAAGACGACATGCGCCAACTTTACACTACTGTTGACGCCTTGAAGCGCGACCAAGACGACATGCGCCAACTTTCTACCACTGTTGACGCCTTGAAACGTGACCATGAAATCTTGAAGCGTGACCACGACGACATGCGTCAACTGTCTACCACTGTTGACGCCGTGAAGCGCGGCCTGGACAACGAGCGCAGCCGAACCGCTACCTTGGAGCAGCGTCTTCACAAGATCGGGAAGACTCTACGTAAATTGATTTTCTTAGTCGATTTTGGTAGATTTATTGTTGATGAAGAATCTGTCACTTGCATTTCATCATTTTCAACCTTTGCCTGTTGCTGATACCAAACTTGTTTTCCAGCATCTTGTCCTAAAGGTTACACAATTTGGCGTGAAATCTGCTACAAGGCCTTCAACACGCAGAAGACCTTCGGCAGTGCGGAGGTGATCTGCCGACAACACGGCGGCACCCTCGCCATGCCCCGAGACGCTGACACCAACGCCTTCCTGGGCTCCCTTCACAAGTTCGTAAACAACCGCAAGGGCTTCTGGATCGGTCTCCACGATCGGCGCGAAGAGGGAAGGTTTGAGTGGGTGGACGGTTCTGCACTTGGATCGTACAACCCCTGGGGTCCGCAACAACCAAACAACAATAGGGGCAAGGAAGATTGTGTCAATTTCTTTGCAGACTCATCCCAGAATATTAAAGACAAGTGGTACGACGAGGAATGCAGCAGATTTTCTAAGGTCATATGCCAGACTGCTACAGGTACTTATTGTGTCCTCATTAATTCCTAAAACCATTTTATCTTGTAAACATGGCACAGCTGAAGTACCCGTCAGGATAAGGCGGCAGACCATCATTGTTCCACAAACTGTCTCTGAACTAAAGCATTCTACATGTCATCCCTGATAATTCTGATCTTTTTTTTCCAGAACGTCCATAGGCGACAGGCGGGAGTCTCACCACTAGCGGCTCTCCGACCACCCGCAGTCAAACTAACCAGTAAAACTTAAGTCTACATTTACTTTAGGAACAATCTAGTAAACTTAAACCTAAAAATAAGAGTAAAACTTGATACTCAAACTTAATTGTTTTTCCCAAATGTTCTCACAAGTTTGATCTCATTTGTGTCTCACTCACTTGTTCCCCAACTTTGAACTTTCTAGGCCAAGACACGTTTTGCTACTACTACTTAACCAAATTACTCATTTTCCATACTCCATCTCTCAGGAGAAAGTTCCACACTGAGAGCTTCTTTCCTAGAAATAATGCTTCCCAAATGGGTACAACCTTAAACTTTTTCAAGTTTGAGGTAAACAAACACCTGTCATTACAGTCCCTTTTTGTAACCTAAAACATGTGAGTGGTTCCCATGAGCCTTGTTTTGAGACCCCTTCCACCACCAACAATAAGGACAACACATCCAACATTGGCAACAGATTGTCCATCACTCATCCAAACGGACTTAACATTGTCCTGGACTTGTAATACAGTACGGTACATGTAGTTTGCTGCCGGTATGTCGTTCTGTTACTAGCTTTTGATGGATTCAGTTGGTTTATTGATAATTTTTTACCGTTTACTATGTGAAGTGTCATTTTTTTCTTAGTTTTTTTTCTTGGTGTGTTTTTTCATGGATTTTTCATGGAATGGTTCAGTTTGTTTTAGAATTTCTTGACCATGTTTGAACAATGGCAAACTTTGCTTTGTTTTGTCAAGTAGGTTAAAAATCACATTTAACCTCCTTGTTTTTAATGTAAATTCTACTGTTTGTAGCGGCTTTTCTTTTCATAAGTTTCATAAGAAACTCTTTTCATGAACCATTCATTATTCATACTGTTTGTTATTCATTTACAATGTCCTGAGAATTTCCTTTGTTGTTATGAACAAACATGTACAGGAACATTGATTAATTGGCTGTTTTCCCTTTCTTGTTAATACTTTAATCGCTTTTATTTACATGTGAATGGTGGCGTCTCCTACTTAGTCTAATTTATTCGTTGGTTAGTACATGGGCGTCTCCAACTTAGTCTAATTTATTCCTTGGTTAGTACTGTCCCTTGGGGGACCACACTATGTGGATTAAGTCACAAGAAATACAGGCTCCTGATTGGCTGAGGAAAGGTGGCCATGTTCTAAATAAAGAAACTGCCCAACACACCCTCCCGGGACGCGTAAGAAAGGTTTGAAGTGACCGCGCTGGGATTCAACAGGTCCCACGGCCAGCTTAATTAAAATAACAAAAGGATTAAGCCATGACCAGCATGACCTCCTGGGGCTACAAACTGTAACGATACCGCCCGACACGACCTCCCGCGGCGACTGGTATGCCACATTGACCTCCACGTGACCCCTACACCCCGCGTGACCACACCCAGTCTGCTCTTCTGCTCCACATAACGGGTGGGTGGCGTGCGCGCCGCAAATACGACCTATCTTGTCCATGATATACTACTGACATGTTTTTTCCGACCTTTATTACCCTTGAAAATGTGCATAGTACACTCTTCGGGTTTAGCTCAAGGGAGGATGGTCTGTGGTCCTGCTTACAATGTATCATTATTACAGTTTGAACAATAGATCATAATAATACCAATAAATTAGAGAACATACTGATTAAATGCTAATCGCAGACAAGCATAATCATCACCATGCCTCCGGATTAATCCGGTGAGGTACGCTTGATAAATTTACTCCAATGCCCCTACCCTGGGTGTCAAACTAGTATCGGGCCGTTAGCCGTTTTCCTTCGGCAGCCAAGAGCCCTTCGCCCGCCTA